CTCCTCCACCTCCACCTCCACCTCCACCTCCACCTCCACCTCCACCTCCACCTCCACCTCCACCTCCACCTCCACCTCCACCTCCACCTCCACCATGCACATGTTGTGAAAAATGCCGCCGAGGCCCATGTTGTCATTACTTTTGTATGCCAACACCTCCTCCATATTGTTATGTACCTTGTAGAAGGTCAGAGTGTGATATATGGGGAGATGGTTGTTGTAGTTGCCGAAGTAGGGGTTACTATGTGTGTAGAAGTGCATATGTTTGTGAAGAGTACTATCCCTCGGCGCCATGCACAATCATGTAAAGGGAAATCAAGTTCAGAAAGACCGATGGTTTGAGGCAACGTCCAGCATCAACCGTTGGATTCAAATCCAGTGGTCATGATGGACCTTCGTGTTGTTGTGTTCATAATATCATCCCTTTTGTGCTGCTGCTGTTGTTTTGACCTCTTTCATCCAGATGATGCACGACTTTGTGCCTAGCTAGTATTTTCAAGTCATTGGTCACAGTTTTTCCATCGTTAAATGGCTTGTTACATGTTTGATCAGCAATGGTCAGCAAACATGGGAGGCTTTACAACCTAGTCTTTGTTTTTTATGCTATCTTATCCTTGTATAGTCCTCGGATTTTGTCCCTTTGGATGTTTTCTTCCAAAGTGCTATTGTTTGTTTCAAAAAACCCATGTCCGTCAATTCTGTAGTCATTTTTTGCCGGTGAAATGCCCAGAAACATCATCTTCGACCGTACTTTGACAATGATGGTTTTCTTATAATATTTTTTTAATTCAAAATATATTAAAATAATATTTTTTTTTAAAAATAAAATTATTCTTGATATAGAATATTAAAACTATCTGAAAATAAATAAAAAACAAAATCATTTAATCTAGGAATCAAAAACAAAATATGCTAAAAGTTGATGTTTGAAATGCATGGTGTAACTCGTATTTTTAAATAAAAAATACCAAAATATATTTTTGATATAAGAATGTAAATTGCAGTGTTTCTAACCAGACTCAAAATAATAAAATAAAAACCCAAAACCTCACTCTATAACTCCATTAAAAAGGGCTAAACTAGCTATCCATCCAAAATATAATAAAATAAAAACTCCAAATAGATCTTAATCATTTTTCAAACAAAGTCTTCAAGGAGAAACTCTTTTCACTATCTTGAATCAATCTTCAAGCCAATCACGAAAAACATTCAAGTTGGGGTTCCAATTTGCTTCCCGATGGACACAGTCAGTAAGCAACATGTTTCGCGGGACGTGCAAAGACTGGCCATGGTATTATCCGAATGCAAATTTTGTTCATTCCATAAAACCTTATAAATAAACTCATATAATTTATAAGATTTGACGCAGAGAGACCATCTTGTGTGATTAAACAATAAGGTCAACAAGGTTGTTGAGATGTATAAATATTATTGTAGGGTTATGTAAGTACTTACAATTATTCCAAAGAAAAGCAAAAGGTTCCATTTTCCATGGTGATGGTGATGGTGCTGGTGCGTGCAACTCCATTTCTTTCACTTTCAATTGCTTTCTTCAATCCTTGATCGTTTGATTGCTACTGTGGTGTAAACGTGATCATGCTTGTTTCCTGGGAAAAATGGTGCAAGCTCAGCCATGCCTGATCCAAACCAGATAATGAAATTTGGATTATTATTCTATAAATCAGTATTGTACTTGGAGAGAAGAATGATCCCTTTATCAACATACATAATAATCGAAGACCAATTTCCTTTTCATGTGTATAGTTTATATGAAGCCATGTAAAGCTCCTAATCTAGAGATTATCATTGGTTGACTTTATTTGACTCGTTTCCTGATCCTTTACAAATTAATTAATTGGTGGGGATGACGGAAGAAAAATGCTACCATGGGATAGGTTAGCGAGCTGTCAATGAAAAC